AATCTTCCAGTCTTCCAATAACGCATAACTATAAAGTGATATTTTAAAATTTCCTGTCAACTTTAAACATTTTCTAACTCAAAATTGTTAGAAAATGGCGGTCAGCTGGATGAATGTCTGCCCTGGCGCCCTGAGCCTTTGGACTGAATATCGGCATATAAACTGCGTCTTTCCTCCGTCAGGATGCGAGGACATCGTTGTGGAAAGTTTGTCCCTGGACTCTCTGGTCCCCATCCTGAAGTGGAGCTCCCAGCCGTACGGCTCCAAGTGGGTCCACAGGCAGGCCATGCACTTCCTGTGTGAGGAGTTCAGCCAGGTGGTGACCTCTGACGTCCTGTACGAGCTCGGCAAAGAGCACCTCCTCAGCGCCATTCAGTCCGACTACCTGCAGGTAAATGTCCACACCTTTCTGCTCGTTTCTGTGCTCTGCTGTTATTCAGATGATGAGACTCTTAATGCGTGCAACTTGTCGGAGGCTTTCGAGCTCTGAATCTGAGTCATGAAGGCATCAAAACAAGTTTTACTCTTGACCAGATGGTTGAGGAAACGTGTTGTGATGCAACCAACCAGTCTGGAGCTCGACTGGGACTCAGAGTTCCTCATTTTTAACGATTTTACCAGTTCACAGAATACAACATGGTTTTATTCTTATTTTGTCTCTTTCCTTCTCTCCTACATATTTTTCCCTTCTCTGCATCTTTTCTTACATCTGTTCATCCCTTCCCAACATCCTTTCCCCCCTTACATTTTTTCCTCGCTTTCTTACATCTTTTGCTCCCTTTCTTATATCCTTTCTCCCCTTTCTTATGTCTTTCCTCCCTTTTCTGTGTCCTTTCCTCTGTTTCTTCATGTTTTCTCCCTTTCCTCTCTCACCTGTGTCATTTTCTTTCCCCTCTATCCTCTTTCTTCTCCTTCCTCTCCTTGGTTTTCCTCCCAGGCGAGTGAACAGGACATTCTGAAGTATGTCGTAAAGTGGGGCGAGCAGCAGCTGATTAAGAGGATGGCAGACAGGGGTAAGATAATACACTCTATAATTACCCTCTCAGCTTCCCCCCTAATTGCTCTGAGGAAATTGCTCACTTACCAAAGACCCAAAAAATACACTTAAGAGTTGAAAAAAGGCTTAACCTCAGAAATGGAGTCAACATAAAGTGGCCTAATTTTCATTGACTTTGTCACTGTGCTCTATTCTAATGATAAATGAGATGCTGTCGGGTTAATGCTCCAAGTGGCTCCAGGAACATGACGCATGCTGCAGGAGAGGCCAGTTTTAAGGAGATGTTTCACTAAATTAGTAGTTTATTAACTCTGTGGCATTAAAATCATAGTTTTAGCTAAATAAGTAACCATATTTATAGGGCTGCAACTAACAATCACTTTAGTAAATCGATTAATCAAATGATAAAAATCTGCAGACCTTTCATTTAGCCACTTTTTATGCAGTATTAAAATACACTAAAAGATGCAAATAAACAAATTAGTCAGTTCCTTTTTGAAATAAGAAAATTAAGATTTTATTGCCTAAAACGAAAAAAAAACATATCTTTAGTAAATTTCAACCAGATGAAGCTAAAGCCGCCATCTGAGGACTTGCCAATTAGTTGACGATTATTTCAAGTCGATCAATCACGGTTAATCCGATTAATTGTTTCAGCCCTACGTATTTATGCGTTTTTGTATGAATTCAGCTGATTATTTCCGTCTTTGCTAACCCAGAGCCCAACCTGCTGAGCGGCACAGCCCACAGCGTCAACAAGAGAGGCGTGAAAAGGCGAGACCTGGACGTGGAGGAGCTGAGGGAGATCCTTTCTCCTCTCCTGCCCTTCATTCGGACGGAGCACATCCTGCCTCCCAACAGCGACGTCCTCGCCGACGCCGTCAGTACTCCTCCTCTGCTTCTGTTAGCATTTTAAATGGGACCTTATTAAGCAAAACTCACATTTTGAATGTTTTCATACTTCCATTTGGGTGTCTACTAATTCTAAAAACACGCTAAAGGCTTAAAATACTCGTTTTTTTGGCAATAAGTTGATGTTGTTTAGTGACTGAACAAAGAGCCGTTTCAAAAACCTTCTGATTGTTGAGTCACAAAACAGCAGGCACTACCAGTCACCTAGCTACCTCAGCAATGCCCAGCCTGTTGCCTAGCAACCCAAAGTAGAGCTCTAGCACGTTTGGTCAGCTGGTTGTACCGCAGTATGTGCTGTACAATGGCTGCTGGAAAAGAGAAGTGTCTTGTTGTTGACTTAACCAGAAACCACTTGCTACATCTTGTTGGTTGTGCAGGAGGCTCCACATCTGCTTTTTAAAAATATAGGGTTGCATAATTTTGCATCTGTTTCGAGCCATTTTTACATGAGAGTGTAATAAACGTTCACTTGAGCAGCTTATTTGGATTTAAAGTGACAAGAGGCCCTAAAACTGCTCAAAATAGAACAAGCTGACTAAAATCTCATTGTGTAAGAATGATTTTGTGCAAAAAATTTAATAAAAAGGTTGTATGTAGCTCGTAAATCTGTCCTTACCTGTTCAAGGAAGCATAATAGATCACCCTTAAACACTGTGAGCTTCACCGGTTTATCTCTGTTCACAGCTGAAGAGGGGTTTGATCAGCACCCCTCCGTCAGACATGCTGCCCACGGCCGAGGGGGGCAAGGCCAACGCCTGGCTGCGGCAGAAGAATGCAGGGATCTACGTCCGTCCGCGCCTCTTCTCTCCGTATGTGGAGGAAGCCAAGGTGAGACTGGCAAGTACTTTTCCTCAGCACTGTGGGGTTTGGTTTTTACCAAGAGTCTCATTATCAGGATGGAAATTCATTTTTTATTTTTTTGGGTCCATTTGGAAATTTTCATTACAACCTGTCGGCCTTCCCGGTCTATGAATATTAATGGACCCGTCTGCAGAGCAGTGAGAGGCATCATTAAGAGAGCTGTCAGTCAGGTGGAACAGATCAGGAAAATCTACAACCCATCTTTGACTCTGTTAGCTTCAGGGCTGCAACTAAATTATTTTTAGTAATCAGTGATTCCGACGATTAATCTATTAATTAGATTGGAAGATGCAAATAAACAAATGTTTCCTTTTTAAAATAGTAAAAGCATTTATAGCAAAGGATGCATCTGAAACTAAAAAATACTCCTAACATCAACATGTGAGAAGGAGATTTTTTTATTTGTACACATTTTGAAACTATCCCACTTGAGGAGTTCTGGGTAGAACATAAGGAGGGTTTTTTTCTTAAATGCAAAATGTTTATATTTTTGTACAGTTTTGGTTTAATTACTGCTGAGTGTGTCGTTCTTTCAGCATTTGGCCTTTCTTCAAGTCTCTATACTCTAATAAATAATTATCAACCAATTTAGTAAATGATTAATCACGATTACTACGATTAATCATTTAAGTTATTTTCTCTTTTGTGTATTTTTTTTACATGACTTCAGTCTGTGCTTGATGAGATGATGGTGGAGCAGACGGACCTGGTGCGTCTGAGACTGGTGCGGATGTCCAACGTCCCGGACACACTCTACATGGTGAACAATGCCGTGCCTCAGTGCTGTCACATGATCAACCACCAGCAAATGGCGGGCAGCTCCAGCACGGCTCCCTCTGTCGTGGCCAATGAAATACCAGGTAGAGAAACAAATGACAGAATGAGTTAATAAATAAATGAACGAACATCAGGTAGAAAAGTAGCAGCTTCATTGTTGGAATCTCTGCTCTGTGGTTCTTCTAGTGCCTCCTCTGTCTGTGGTGAAGGATATGATCCGCAGGCTGCATGAGCTGAGGCACACGGAGCAGGTCCAGCGAGCCTACGCCCTGAACTGTGGCGAGGGAGCCACGGTCAGCTACGAGCTGCAGCTGAGGGTGCTAAGGGAGTTCGGCCTTGCAGATGGAGCCACGGAGCTGCTGCAGGTAAAGAGGAGGATCAAATCGCTTTAAAGGGGCGGTATCGTGTAAAATCAACTCCTTTGACCTTTACATCATCTTACAATGTTATTCTCTCATCAAAAACATATATGTAGTGTTTGAGAAATCCTTCAGTCTCCCATGACAACCATTTAGTTTTGGCCTTAGAGGGGAACTCGCCCACTCAGCTCCTTCAGACTAGCCAGCAGCAATTAGCAAACACCTGGTGGAACTGCATGTCTGCATTGCTCATAATAGGAACTACTTCTCAGTCCAGCAGTCCTAAGAACAGTTCAAAACTGTATAATGGAGGAGTATTGCCCAGTTTCAAGGCGACAAATTGCAAAGTCAATTTTTTGTAAAGTTATACAACTGAAGGTAACATAGGTACTTGATTGTGCTATAAAATGGAACTATGTGGCTGGAAAATATGTAATACCGCCTCTTTAAGAAAATGTTCCTGTCCTTCTGCAAGAAACGATTATTTTACTCATCGATTATTCTGACATTTAATCGAGTAATTGAATAAAAAATATTGGCATAGTTTGCAGATTTTTTATTTCAGCTCATTTTATGCAATAGTAAAAATACATATAACATGGAAATAATATAATTTCTTTTGTAAGTAAGAAAATAAATATTTTATTGCCTAAAATGCAAAATCGTGGCATTCCTTTAGTTTATGTTTGATCATTTTTAGCTGCATATGCAACAAAAAAAACTTTTTGCTGTTTAAAACATATTTACAGGCAGTTTTTCAAATCTTAAATGCAAGATGTATATGTTTGTTTGTACTGCTTTGGCTTAATTACTTCTCTTTGTTGTGTTTTTAGTATCTGTATGCTCCAATTAGCGATTAATTGATTACTAAATTAGTTGATAATTATCTCAGTGATCAATAACAGTTAATCTGATTAACTGTGTCATCCCTGATCTTGTTTGCTTTGTTTTGCTTTCAGAACCCATCCAAGTTCTTCCCAGATGAGCGTTTTGGAGACGAGAGTCCGATTCTGGCCCTGCGTCAAGTGGGCCGTTGCCGTGTCAACAGCAGTCCGGCTATGGACAGCATGATAACGGACCTGGAAGGAGTGGCAGGCTTCCACCCTCCGCTGCCTCCTCCGCCTCCTCCCTACCACCCTCCCGCCACGCCCAGCCATGCCCAGCTCAAAGGGGGCTGGCGACCCCGGGTTCCCATGCCGACGCCGACCCGCTCCTTCTCCTACCCCTGCAACCGGACCCTGATCCAGCGCCACGCTGCTTCCAAACATGGCGGTTCGGAGTACTCCTCGGCGCCCAGATCCCAGCCTCCAGACTGCACCAACCCCCAGGCTATGGGCCGACCTCTGCTGTCAGACCAGCAGGCGGTAAGTGTGGCGTGAAATAAAGCTCCAACTAACAGTAATCACTTATTCTGATGATTAATCAAATACAAAAATGGGCACATTCTGCAGATTTTTCACTTAATCACTTTAGCTCTATCCTCCAGTTAATAATTGATCGATTTCTAAATTAGCTAATGATTATTTTAATAATCGATTAATTGTTTTAGACCTAGTTTTGGGTAGAACATATTTGCAGATTAATTATTTTTTTTTATATCTTAAATACAAAATGTTATATTTTGTACAGTTTTGGCTTGATTACAGCTCTGACTGCGTTGTTCTTTCAGAAAATGTTTTTTTTGTCTGTATTCTCCAGTTAACGTTTAATCAATTCCTAAATTAGTTGACAATTATTTGATTAATCGATTAATCAGATTAATTGTTTCAGACTTAGTTTTGGGTAGAACATATTTGCAGATGAATGATTTTTTTATATCTTAAAAGGCAAAATTTATATATTTTGTACGTTTTAATTAATGGCCTTTGTTTAAAATCTGTATTCTCCTTTTAATCAATGACTATATTAGTTGACCATCGTTTCATTAATTGATTAATCATTGATGAATCCAGTTAATCATTTCTGTCCTAGCGTGAAGCCTCTTGTTTTTGCATCTCATGCTCCAGTTGAAGAGTTTCCTTTGACCCTGTCATGTTGTGTCTGCTTCCTGATCAGATGGGGGCGGAGCCTATGATGAGGGAGTTCATGCCGGACATCGCGCTCGGCGTCTCGGTCATGTCTCTGAGGGAGCAGCACATGGCCGACATGGACGGCGAAGGCCCTCACAGCCCCATGGGCCCTTCAGGCCACCACCTGTCCTGCTCTGCTGCGCGCTTCAGCCACGGTTACGGCCCTGGACACGGCCACTCCTGCAAGAGGCACGCTCCAGAACCCAAGCTGGAGGCCCAAGCGGAGTTCCCCGACCTGTACGACTTCTCCTGCAGACCCGCGACCCCGACCTCCGCCCACCCTTTGCCCGCTTTCACAGGACCAGACCTCTACAGCCACAGCTGCACGCAGTCCGGCTCCTACCCTCCTCCTTACGTTTCTGACTGCCAGAGCCACGGCCACCTGCAGGGACGGACCGCCCCGGACCCGCTGCGACTGGACGTCCTCAGCTTAAAATCCCAGAGACACGACGGCGTCCTCTCCAGTCCGTCCGGACCACAGCCGAGGACGGGTCCGTTCCCAAAGGGGCGGCCGAACGAGACTGACCTCACCCACGGTTTGGGTCATCTACGCTCCCCCAGCGGGAACATGGACGGCTACGAGGACAGACCCAGAGACGCTCCAGAGGAGATGGTTCTGGACGGAGACCCATCGGGTCCGGTTCCGCTCCAGCAGTCTCACAGGAACAGTGTAGGCGAAGAACTCCTCAGAGACCGCAGATCGCCCAGCAAACCGGACTACCCCTATAAGAAATCTGCACTTTAACCCCAGTTCAGGAGGCGGGGTTGAGTTGGAAAAAGGGAAAAATGCGATGAGCACTAAATGTGTGTGTGTGTGTGTGTGCGTGTGTGCACGTGTGTGTGTGAGTACAAGAGTCAGAGAAAAGGGTTGTAGCTAGCGCTGGGCGATTATTTTTCATATCCAATTTTAAGAAAGTTTAGTTTACTTGCCTACACTTCTAAGAACAAAATAAATATTTTCAAAAAGTGATTTATTTCAATATTTCAGGCTATGTTTTTTTTTTATTCAATTATGAGAAAATAGTAACAATATTAGCAGAAAAACAATCTTAAAATTACAAAACGTTCCTTTAATGAGAGAAAATCTTGACCAGCTTAGTTTGTGTATTCCTTTTTCGAAATGCACAATCATTTCAAAGTCCTGCTACTCATAACAATTTGATGGTGAAGATTATTTCTATTATCTGTGACACCAACACTGCAAAAATGTATCTTACCAAGTAGTTTCTAGTGCAAATATCTTAGTTCACTTTAAATTATACAAAATCAACTTAAATGTAAGTTTTCAGCAAGATGTAGGAGCTTGTTTTAAATTATTACTTAATATTGATTTAAAAAGTACTATAAACGTACTGAGATTATTAAACAATTTTCCCGTGATATAAATCAAATAATCTGCCAGTGGAACTAGCACTTTTTCGTCAGTAGTAAGGAAGTATTGACTTAAAACAAGCTGCTATATCTTACTGAAAAGTTACTTGTGAGTTATTTTTATTATTTCAAGTGTAATAAGATATTTACTCTAGATACTAGACCAAAATTACTGGGTAAGAAGTTGTAATTTTGCAGTATTGGTAAGTATTAAGTAAGAGTCTGTTTCAAAGAGAACTACACAAAATGAACTGGTTTTCTAATTAAAACAATTTTAAGATGTTTTTCTGCTAATATTGTGACTGTAATCTTATAATAAGTCAAACATTCTTGTAGCCTGAGCCTGATACTACGTCATATAACTCAGAGTGCTCATATATAAACCACTTTTATTTCAAAACAAACATTTGCTGTCGAGCTGTAAAACACGCTAGTCAAACAAGATGGCGGCTTTGGGCGCGCCGACGTCCAAACTATCCAAAGAGCGCATTGGTAATGAAAGTTGATTTTTAAAAAAAATTAATCTTGAAGACCTTAGTTAATTAATCGCCCAGCTCTCGCTGTAGTTGCCGGTGTCTTCTGTCCTACCTCTACAGCGCTGCGCTCTCATCACACAGAGTTTAGACAGGAAGCCGCTCTGCTCCCGTTAGAGGATTTCCGCTAATATCCTCTCAACTTTGGTCAGCTGGAGGTCTGCAGGAGACACTCCGATCAGCGGAAACATTTAATCTGAGTTTATGTAACGAGTAACAGCGGGACTCGGAGGAAGTGATGCAACAAAACCGTAGAGTTATAAGATAGATCCGCTCTGCTGGGTTCTCCTTTTCTTCATGTAGCATTTCTGACGACACGTCCTCACCCCGTTCATCTCTGACAGGAAGTAAACTGCAAAAAACGCAACATCACCAAGTAATTTTTGGTCTAGTTTTTACCGCAAATATCTTAGTACACTTGAAATAAGACAAAAACTAACTTACAAATAACTTTTAGGCAAGATATATGACCTTAGTTTAAGCTAATTTATTAACATCCATTTAAAACGTAATAGATCCATTGGGAGATTATGTAACTAACAAGACATTTTTCCAATGTTTTAAATGAGACAAGTGGGATTTTTGATAAGTTTATGCTACCACTCACTCCTTTTTAAACGTATGCAAAAATGATGACATTATTCTTCATGCTGAATTTTTTTTGTATTTATTCAAAAAATAAAATAAAAAATAAGTAAATTAATTAATCCGCCACTGAAATTAGTTCTTTTGATTCAATTTAAAAATACTTAATTGATGCAAAAAGGGCAATTAAATATTGTAACTCATCAATTCAAATTAAAAGTATTGAGCTACTCAATAACTATATCTTGCTAAAAAGTTATTTCTAAGTTAGTTTTGTCTTTTTTCAATCATATTAAGATGCACTAGATAAAAAATACTTTGTAATATTTTGTGTATTTGGAGTGTAGCTCATTAGAAATGAGTGATAAAAATGAAGAAGGGAACTAAGATGATCGTTTTGCAGCAAACAAAACTGTAGGAACCTTCAGCCAATCAGAGAGGCTTATCGGAACTCTTCAGCCAATCAGAGAGGCTGATTGGAATCTTTTAGCCAATTAGAAGCAAGTCAGGTGTTATGAAATCTCTGTGCTACAGATTAGAGTCCGAGGTGTTGTTTAGCATTAAGTAACCACATTTAAAGCCTTAACAAGCGCTTCAAACGGCATTTATTCACATAAAAACATTTCCATTGTTTCACTTTGACTCTCTCTAGGTTTGATTTATTCATTTCTGCATTTTCCTTTCACATTTCAAAAAAAAAAAAAGTCCACATGTATATACCAGGACTTTTGCAAACCTCATTAGCGCTGGATGCACATGCAGTGTTGATAACTGTTAAATATGTAGTTGGAGACCAGCTGCAGCTGTAGCTCCGAACTAATCATTTCTTACAGAAAGACGACAAAAAAAATAAAAAATAAACCTGCATCTCAAACTGAAATGTAACCGACGGTAACGCAAAGTCGGCCCATGCTGGCTCAGGTCTCCAACGAGGAATTGTGTATATATTGATTTGAGTCCAAAACATTCAGATCGCTTGTGTTTTTTTAATAGTTTGTCACATTTTGGTGGTTGTTGAAGGTCTGTGTGTTTTTACTGTAGTGAACAACACTGTGTGCTCGTCTTTGTCATGAAACTCTCACTGAGAATGTGTGCTATAAAACAAAAAGATTGTGTTTAAGGACGTTTTTCATAAATGTTATGCATTAAGGACATTTTTTTTAGCTGTAGATGATGTGAGGATGTTTCCTCTCTGCTTTGCATTGATAGAGCTGCCAAGCAGAAAAGTATTTTCTTTTTTTTTTTTTCCAGCAAGTTGCTTCATGGGGAAAAAATGCAAAACTCCGGATTCTTCCCCGTCTTCATGTTTGGTAGCTTTTAATAATTATTTTTCCAGGCCAGTGTTCCACTGAGTCCCGGTCGTTGTTTTGCTCTGTGCTGTAGAGGAGTCAGTGCCTTTTATTGGAGGAGTGACTTTGATGTCTATGCAAGCTCTTTTCTACCAGCTTACCAGCATGCATCAGATAGTAATTTGAAAACCCATGTAGCTTGTTTTGTGTACAGTGTTATTTAGCAGCTTTTAAAAAAGAAAAATAACGAAAAAATCTACCATCAGATGGATATGTGTTGAATTGTAACAGGTACATTGTACTTGTATGCTATTGTTAGATACCTTGTTTGTAGATTAATAAGTTGCATTTAGTTTCACTGAATCTATTTTTCTACTGTTGCCTCAGAAGGTGCATCACAGTGGTCAACTTCTCAAAATAAACACTTTAATATGACTGGGCTGTGTTTTTGTTCTTGTTTCTGTCCAAGGAAATGTGAAAATCTGGGAAAGTTTACCTAGAGAAATGCATGTTTTGGGTTATTGTCATTTTTCAGGTACAGTTCTACTTCACCTTTAATCTTTTTACAAATAATTTCATACTTCTGTCAAATATCCTCTATGTGGCGGGTTTTCTACTCTTCCTTGAACAGATTAGGATTGGTTTATACAATCCAAACAGTCTGAAAAAGCAGTCGATGCTCCACAAAAAGCCGTTTCATTAGCTGCGTTTTCTTTTCATTGGCTTCGATCGTCTTATGAACTTGTGACAATTTCGGTTGAATAAACTATAAATTAAATGCACCAGCAGTCTGGAGTTCGCCTAACATTTGGGGTTTAAACAAGCAAAATGCTGAGTAATCATGAGAGGGGAAAAATGTGGGAATTTCTTAATTTAATTTAACAAATTTTTATAAATTGAATTTATCAGTACTGTTGAAACTGATAAAATGTCCACATGCTTCTTAAAGTAACAGTAACACCATTATATTAAGAAGGAAATGCATGCAGAGCAAATTCTTTCTTTGCAGTTTATGGAAGAGTTGAGAGCGCAGAGCAGCTTCTTGTCTCAGCTTGTCTGATCGCTGCAGGTCGGAAGCTCCTGCAGATGTGTCCGCATCTCCCTCAGCATCTCTGCACTCCCTGCAGTCTGCTCTCTGCTCTATTGTTTTGGCCTTTAACAAAACTCTCTGCACTTCCTCGTTAGTTTGTTTGCAAGAGGAATTCCTGTTTTCAGCTTCCTGCGGAACATAAAAACATCTGATGAAACATCGACTCAAACACTCAACAGTGATCAAATCCATCTGACGAGCTTTTTCTAGTCTGATTATTACCCTGAGGAGTAGGAGGTACAAGATAACAAAAACAAGTTATCTCAGCCCACAGCTCCACCTGGTGGCAAACTGGGGTACAGACGTAAAAGTTCTGTTTTAAGTTGGAATGTCAGTTTGCTTCTTCGCCAATTTACACTAAATCTGCAGTAAGCAACTTTTGTGAAAAAAAAAATTAAAGTAAAAAATAAGTAATAAATAAAAAAGGCTAATCTGCCTTCTCCCAGTCCTCCCAGTGCTTACTAGAAACAATCAAAGTCAGGAGGCGAGTCTTAGTGATTGTCAATTCCCTATTGCTCTCTGCTACCACTGCAGCTTTTCCCTGTCAGCAAAGTTTGTCTTGCTAATGCTAGTTAGCATAGCTAACAATGACGGCGGATAAATGGCGGTTTTCCTGTTAAAGTTATTTCTCCATCATTTGGTATTTAACAGTGAGTATGGGCATTGATTGACAGCGCTAAGCCCCTCCTCCTGGTTCTGATTGGTTGTTTTTGACTTTTTTTTTCAAATAACTCAATCTTTTCACAGATTATCTGTCACTTAAACTGTCACGACATGGTGGCAGATTTAACGAGTATGTTTTAAAATTTCTTTTATAAAAGTTATATACTGCACCTTTAAGGCTGCTGAATGTAACTTACAAAAATATGTTTGTTGGTTTTTACATATCTGTTAAAATTGTCACCATCTTGTGACAGTTTATTAAGTGACAGATACTCTGTGAAAAGACTGAATAATTTAAAGAAATGCACCACTCCCAGTCAAAAACAACCAATCAGAATCAGGAGGAGGCTCTTCATTACTGAATCAGATAGGTTTATGGGTGTTGGTTCCACAGAAAAGGAACATAATTACTGAAATATCTGCCTCTGGTTCTTCTTTTAGAAACTCTAACAACCCATAAACCTGCAGATCTGCAGATTTCTGATTACCTGTGAAAGAGCTTTACCAGTGAGGAGATTTTTAAACTATTCAGTATTTACAAGAGACAGTAAAGGAAAGACAGGATTGCAGAAATACGGATTCCCCTTTTTACTTCTCATTATTACTCTCACTGCCTGCAGTTGAAAGATTTTTTTCAGATTTTTGGTGCGACATTCTGTAAAATAAAGAATGACAAGACTCCATTAAGAATGTGCAGTTAAAAGAAGGAAATCGGGAAAACCTGATTGAAATTAGATTCAAACATCTTCTGTCTTGTTTAATGTGAAAAAGCAGAAACTATACACTCCATCATTAAGTTTAACCTATTTGATTAATAAACTGGACTTCACTGCAGCTTGGAAGCTGAATGAATTACATTCATGAATGTAATTGACTTTTAATCTGTCTACATATCTGGTTTAAATTTACGGTTTATTTTTTGGTGCCTTGAAATTATATTCTGAAACTAAATTGTACATATTAATTTACTAAACATCTAAACTACAAACTAGTTGGGTTAGGATCTAACTTACATGTTAAAAAACTATTTTTTTAGTGTGAAACGTAGAAAGATTTAATTTAAATCTAAAGCTAAACGTTTTTTATCTATTTTATTTATTTCAAACACATCGGCAATGACCTAGATTTCCAGCAGGTGGCGTTATTGTTCCATGACAGCTCTTAAAGTGATTCGCTATGTTCCACAACTGCTTTTATTGAGTCACAAACTAAATATTTTACCGCTAACTGTCTCTGTTGTGTTTGTTTACGTTTTCAAAAAGCAGATAAACCAAAACATGTTGACTCTATACTGGGATTATTTGGGGTATGTTTTTATTTTATGGCATAAGTATGTTGATAAGATCTAGAGAAAGGCAACCGTTACAGTACAGGGAGATTATGTAAACTCATAGAGATTTTATTTCTGAGCTGTCAGTAAACGCAGCAGAAGGTCCCAGTTTTGTTTTTATTTTTTATTTTTAACACAAGTAATAGTAAAAAGTAGTCGTCCAAGAAGTTACTCAAGAGTAAAAAAGTATTTGGTAAAAAGTTAACAGAAAGTTAAGTGGAAATGTTGGTATTTTACTGACCAAAATGAAAATAATTCATATAAGTGTAAAAAAAAAATCAGGTAAAATAAAGTCTTTCAAAATCAGTTTCTTTCAATAAAAGACTTATGAAACTTTAACAAAAACGGCAGGTGTGTGTCTGTGTCTGGTGAATTTTTGGTTCAAACATGTTTGTTTTTCATCCAGTGGGTAGAAAATCCAGAATCTTTACTCAAGTAAGAAACGCTAAATAATAAAATTATTCAACTAAAAGTAAAAAAATACAGGGTAGTAAAAATACTCCTGAATTTTTTATTTTTCAAAAAAATTACTCAAGTAAATGTAACTGTGTAAATTGTAACTAGTTACTACCCAACTCTGCTTTTATGGACATGAAACTTGGCAAAAAAGAAAAAATAAGACCAGGTTTGCGTTAGAAATATGACAGAGGAGTCTTTCTATCTATGAAACCAAACAAAACATTTTCAAACTAAAGGGAATGGTTTGGTATTATTGGAGCAGGAGGACCCGGGATGTGTGCGGTCAGCTCCCAGGGTTTTGTCATTTCCGTGGCGTCAGTGAAGGCAGCAGCAGGACCCAGGGTGTGTGCAGTCAGGCAAGCTGACAGAGGGAGACAGGGAGAGGGAAACACGGGGAACATCTGTGCCTGGTTCAGCCGTGTCCGTCTTCGGTCTCCTCGGGTCTCTCTGCGGTGGTCGGACCGGATCATGGACCGGTCTCTGAGCTAGTTCCCGAGGAAAACACAGACCGACCCCCGGAGCTAAACCTGCAGGTTGGTTAGCTGTGCGATCCTCCCTAACTGGTCTAGTCAGTTAGTTGATCCGCAGGTTAACAGCTGGCTGACGGCTGTGTGATCTTCTCACACAACGAGGATGAGCATCTGAGGTTCGGATGAGCGGGTTTCAGCGTGGGGAAGCAGCTAGCTTCAGTTAGCTTCTCAGAGTCACAGCAGCTAGCCTGCTAGCGTTAGCAGTTAGCAGCGGAGGGAATGAGCGTGCGCGCGCGCGTGCCCAGACACCCAACATATAAAAGCAGAAAGCTCCTCCTGCGTGGGTCAGGAGTGTTAGGTCCACTCCTCCCGGGACTGATTGTTGGTGTTTATCCCCGCCCGTGTGGTTGGTTGGCCGCTGACTTCCTGCCCCGTCCCCGCAGGTGGAGCCTCCATCATCTTCCCCATCATCCCCGCCAGTTCCCCCCAGAGGAGCCCGAGCAGCGCAGCGACGATGCAGACCTTCCTGAGGGGCCGCCGGGTAGGCTACTGGCTCAGCGAGAAGAAGATGAAGAAGCTGAACTTCCAGGCCTTCGCGGATCTCTGCAGGTTGGTGGTTCTGTTCGGATGGTTTGGGTCTGGTACCGGGTGGTGGGGCAGGAGGTTGGAAGCAAGAGGCTTGTTTTACTGAAAAGTCTGGAAATCTTCTGGTTCGTCTCAGCTTCACACATGGTGGCATTTATATACATGGTGCTGCTTCATTTTATACTTTTTACAGTGTTTATTATTATTATTAATGTATTTTTTTTTTTACACATGGTGGAATTTTATTTATTAAATTAATTATCTTTATTTTTTATTTTTACATGTAGTGATTTTTTTTTCATTTTTCAATTATTTTTATTTTTTTTACATAGTGGTGTTTTATTTCTTACATTTTTTACAGGGGGGAGTTTTGTTTAGTAAATTTTTTCAAACGTGGCGATTTATTTTTTATTTATTTACTTTGTGTATAAATAAATTAATTTTGTTTATTTTTCTTTACACACAGTGGTGTTTTAAATTTTTAGCTGCCACCAAAGCAAACTAATTCTAAGAATAACCCCAAACCTTCTGCATTTATGGCCTTTCTTACAATAAACCTATAACTTTTTCTTTAATTTCCACACTTGTGAAGTTGTATTTTAATGCTTTTCCATCTAAATGCCTGCAGATTGAAGTCAGCCCCGACTCCATGAGGAAATCCTCACGCTTTATTTTCCATTTAATCCCTCCCAAAGCTTTTCCATCTTCACTTGTGACTCACTCCGGTTCTCCTGTTATATTTACAGCCACATCTCTTGATTTGTAAACAGTTCCAACGTTGCAGCTTGGAGTTAAATCCATTATTTAAACTGCAGTATTCTGAAAGTCAGAAGGTAATATCCAGAGGGAAGCAACAGGAGGAGAGTTTCTTGTCAAGGCTTGATTCCTGTTCATTGTTAATGGACTCTGTCTTTCTGGAGTGTTTCCACCAGTAACAGTGAGTGCACTGGTACAAAGAGCGCTGTGATTTTCTTAGATAAGTTCATCTGATTGTCAGTTCCCTGTATGCAGCTTGTTGGAATAAGGAAGGGCTGCCGTGGGGGAGGGTAACGCCTCCATTATCTTATGTCACAAACATGGCTGAAGGGTTTTTGCTGTATATCTGAGCTGCAGGATTCCTAAAAACGACGTTTGGCATGTGAAACGGTATTTTTCTCCGCCGGTGATGCTCCCTGAGTAGGTCGCAGGTCGGGAGTGTTGAGTGTATTCTCCCCTTTCCTGCGGCGGCGGTGTTGACCTGATTGAACCAGCTCAGATTATCTGAACGTAATCCAACAAAAACATTTTTAATCTCCTCATAAAACGCCCCACAGACACCTTCTGCCTTCATCCAAATCCCCCCTGCAGCGCTGAGGAGCAACTATTACATTTACCTGAATAACTTTCTGGGAAAAATTTACTTTTAGGAGTATTTACACTGTATTTTTAAATCTTGGATAAATTATTATGAAATATTGCTACACTCTCCTGCAGTTTTACTTTGAAAGAATTTGATTTAGAAAAAAATGTTTCTTTTGCCTGATTTTGTCATTTATACAAACTGTTTTGGATTTTGGCCTTTAAAATTCCAAAAATTTCCACATAACGTTATATCTGTTTGATTATTTAAATTTTAAATATAAAATGTTTGATGTTTAGATCAGTTACTCAATACTTCAGTTTTTATCAAATACTCAGAGTCTCATAATAACTAGTTACAGTTACTTGAGTAACGTTTTGGAAGAAATGTACTTTTAGGAGTGTTTTTACTACTCTGTATGTTTTACTTGAGTAACTTTATTGTGAAATATCGCTACTTTTACTCGAGTAAAATATCTGGATACTCGACCCGCTGAGAGTAACTTCACTAAATGAAGAACCAAAAATTCACACAAACCTGCAGTCTTTGATAAAGTTTCATAAGTCTTATTTAGAAAGAAATTGATTTTGAAAATTGTTTGTTTTGCCTAATTTTATTTTGTAGTTCTGTTAGCTATATGAATTATTTTAATTTTGGTGCTTAAGTTACCAAAATTTTCACATAACTTTATATTTTTCTCCATCTTATTATGTAATTTTGAAATATTAAAGGTTTTGATCTGTTACTCTCAATACTTGAGTTTCCTTTCTTACCAAATACTTTAACTCTTACTTGACTAATTTCTTCTACTTGAGTAAAAATATAAAGCTACAATTTTAATCTAATCTTCTCAATGCTGCCCTTGGACACAGACTGAACAATGTTAGAAATTAAGTTTAGCCAGCTCTCAACCTCGATTTGTTTTGCGTGCATCAGGTTTTGCCTCTTTTGACCTACAAACGGTGTTTAAAATGTTTCTGTCGCCAGTTCAACTGCCGCCTCTCACTGAAACTGTTTTTCAGGTTCTGTCTGAACTGAGAAAGTTAAGCAACAACTTATCTGTAGGAGGAAGGAAATGATTCAACTGATAACAATATAATGTGTTTGGATATCTGCAGTAGAGTCAGTTTTTTTTTTTTTTTTTTTTTAAATCACAGGAAGATTTTCTAGTTTTGGTCAGTCTTGTCTTCGTCTTTTCTGGGTCCTCCTGTCTGTTGCAGCTGCAGATGAATCCTGCAGGTCAGGAGCAGCTGCCTGCTTTCTGTCTGCGGTGTTCGCTGCAGATCCGACAGCCTTCGGCACAGTCGAGTCTGAATGTTTGATTAAAATGTTTCTAATCTTGACAAGGTCGCTGCGTTCTGCTTTAACAGGGTTGATGAGATTAAACCGGGTCAAACCCGCACACGTTAAATCACGACAGCGACTGCAGGATGTAAACATTTAAACTTGTTTCTGTCAATATAACACCAGATCACTGCAGGCGGTTACAAGGTAAGCCGTTATCCTCGCGCAAGGTTGAGGTTTGAGTAAATACAGAGTTCAGTTTTCAAGTCAATATTCCATTTATTAAACAGAAAATGTTTCCTTGCACTGCAAAAACACAAAATTTTATCAAATATTTTGGCCTAGTTTTTGAGCCGATATGTCAGTGCACTTAAAATAAACCAAAACCAAATTACAAGTCACTTTTCAGCAAGTTATACGAGACTGTTTTTTGCGAATAATTCCTTAATATTAATTTTAAAAAGTGCTTGTTCTACTGTTAGATTATTTCATTTATAACAAGGGGAAAATGTCTTTTTAATAAACAAAATAATTTCCCAGTAGAACTAGTATTTCTTTTAATTAGCAATAAGGAATTAATTACATAAAACAAGCTCCTATAACTTGCTGAAAAGTGACTTGAAAGTTAGTTTTGTCTTATTTTAAGCGCCCTAATATATTAGTTACTTGGTAAAGTTTTGTGTTTTTACAGTGTGTGTAATAAGTAATAAACCAGATATGAAACCTCTGGCTCATAATAATCTTTAGCTTAAAATAAGGAATGAACAAAAGTTTAAAAATATATATATAATTTAAAAAATGCAGTTCAGCAGTTTTTTTTATTGCATTTATAAATACGAATGACACTAAAAAGTGCCTGTCATGTTTTATATATTTTATTTTTTCTTATTAAATTGAAAACTTTGTGCTTTCTAAACATTTTCTAAAATATTTAAAGATATTTTGTGATGTGCCCATCCAAATAAAATGTTGGTTCTGCACAAATAATGCATTTCCTACTTTAAATTTCAATCAAAAATTGTCTTTTTCCAAAAAAATAACTTGTGGGTCTAAATAAGTTTAATCAAAAATGGTTCTTTGGATGGCTGTGAGAAAGTTTTAGCCAAGTCTTCTTTGAGGAATTGTTTTAATTCAGCCATGTTGGAAAATGTTCCAGCGTGAACGCCTTTCTGTGTTGGAAAAAATAAAATAAAAAATTCACAGTTGTGGTGTTTCCCTTAATAAAAGAAACACAATTAAAATCACATGTGAGTAAGTTTACTTTGTCTCTAAAACTTGATCCTCCAACTGCTTCCTGTTTTTTTCTTCATGGTTTTTACCAGTAGTAACATCCAGTTGTTGCTCATGTGACTAATGTGATGCAAAAATAGTGTTTCCAGTAGTTGCAAGATAAACTAATTTCAATAGGGCCACAAAAAACTCTGCATTCTAGTGCCAAAACTTTTGATCATAAATATATATTTTTAAATTGCTGTGTTTCCATTAAGCAAATTTAATTTTGAAATGTCAAATTTTGTAGTTATATGGTCAATGGAAATGCACCTCAGAAGATGCTTTTTAAACTCTTTAGCCTACTTCGTGTTGTCAGACAGGTTCTGCTGTGGTGATTATTTCAATCTCAAGTAACCTGGATGTGGAACCGAACTCTTCTTTTCAAAATAAAACGTAGTTAATCACAGACACTTCATAATTTAAAAACGGGGGAACAAATTTTTCACATGTAGCCATGTTGGTTTTAATAAACTAAATAATCTTTTTGGTTGACATTGAAACGTGTTTGATGATCTGAAACGTTGATATGACGGAAAAAACAAAACGGAAGAAATACTTTTCTCCCGGTTCCTCCAGATTTTCTCCCTCTCTCTCTCTTTAACAATGCATCAGAGCGAAGTGATCTCCATATCTGAGGTGGGTTGAAACTGAGGCTCCATTCACTACATGAAACCCGCCAGCTGCAGGATTAAATATCTGCATTGTTGCAAAGCTGTGAATGGCCACGCTGCTGTTACCATGGCGCTGTAAATCAAGCTGGACCGGCTTGTACCAAGGCTTAGCCCGTTTTCGGTTCCTCTCACCTGCAAATGTGTGAGCTACGGATACAAGTTATCAATTAATGAGTTGATGTAAAGTTGATTGATCAATTAACAATTAATTAATAGGCGACAATTTTCTTAAAAACTTGTGTTTCCTCTTGAATCAAGAGGAACGACCGTCTTTCTATCCACAAGCATCCTCATTCCAAACACATTCACTTAAATTGTCACTTTATGGTACATGTTCACATTTTTTTATTGACTGTATATCAAATACATTTTTAATTTAACTGAAGATATGACATAATACAATATATAATATTCAATAAAATACAAAGACTTAAATCTTATTGTATGGACTACCTAGTCTAGGAATTATAAAATGTCCAGCATGTGTAAGTATTGAGTGACACAGTGTTGACACAGAATCGACAGTTTTGCTATGTGTCGAAACGATACATGACGCCTCATATACCCATCAATACAGTTCTGGTTTGGCCGCCATCTTTGTTTCTGTACCAACGGCTCCGCTTAATCAGCGGCCTCTGCTGGATGGCGGCCAAACTACAACACTAAA